CACACACACACACACCACTACCACCACCCAAAATCAGCTTCTGAAGTTGTGGGTATCAAGGAGCATCCGGTCCCCACGAGGCTGCATTTTCCTCAAATCTGGGCCCCACAGTGTAGGAGAAACAAGGCCCCACACACACACACACACACACACACACACAGAAACTTGTTTTTATATACTTGTGGGGCCCATCCATTGACTTCCATTCATTTTTTTTATTTTATATCCTAACCCTGACCACAAACCCTAAGGATAACCTCACAGGTACCAACCTGACCCTAAAACTAACCTAAACTCAATTCACACATTGGTCCTAAACCTAACCTCCCACCCCAAATCAGCCTTCAAAGTTGTGGGGCCCGGGCTTTGGGCGCCACAAGGAGCATCCGGTCCCCACGAGGCTGCATTTTCCTCAAATCTGGGCCCCACAGTGTAGGAGAAACAAGGCCCCACACACACACTCACACACACACACACAGTATGCACGCTCAGTAACAAATGGTACTCTAATATTAATGTTATTCTATTAAAATCAGTTGCGATTGTTAATTAAACCATTAAAAGGCCGTTCTATAAACACCAAATCAGAAGCTCTGCAAGCAGCTTTGARTGTTTTATTGGAGACAAAGAGAAACATTCAAATGGAGGTAAAAAGGTTAGTGGGATGAGTTCAGGGTCAGCAGAAACTGTCTGTGTTCATAAAAAAAACCTGTGTTTCTGTGGCCATTCCACACCTCAGCCCTGAACAAGTTTATTAAAATTAGATTTAAATCAACATCTGTAGGCGGGTTGGACACGCCCCCTCCGGCGTCACCGGCTGTATTTTTAGCAGCGCTATAAGAACTCAGGTGTCTTCCTGATTCTCGACACGATGTCGAACAGGTCGCAGACTCTTTATTTTGCTCCGTGGTACCAGCAGGGGGCAGTGTCACATTGCTGTGTCCTCCTCTTTGTGTGATCTGGGTTTGTCTGTGCCTCCTTCATCATTAAACCTTCTGCAGCTCTGTCCTTCTAAACCTTCACCTAGAAATTAGTTGGATCTTTGTTTTGCTTTAAAGTTTCCCTTCGAGCCACGAGAGCACGCTCAGCTTCTGAGCTGCTGCAGCCGCCAACAAAAACTCTGGATTCTGGAGTTCATTTCTCTTCCCTCTGGCTGACCTTCCACACACACACACACACACACACACACACACACACACACACACACACACACACACAC